CGGAGGACAGGTCCTGCTCACCCGCCCCACGGGAGAGGTCCTCCTTTCCCGAGACGGGCGGCGTGTGCTGGAGGCCCTGAATGTGGACTCGCCGACGGCCAGGTAACGCGTTCGGGGCAAACTAATTGCCTCGGTAGCTTTGCGGCCCGCGGGGAGCGGACAGCCTGGCCTGGGGCTTGGCTGACCATGCTACGGGAACAGGAGACGGGGAGGCTTATTTATTTTATTGATTTCTCTGTTCCATTGATACGTCGTCGAATCCCGAAGACTGGGCGGATAACAATCTCATCGTAAAATAGAAGGACATCCACAAAGGGGGGGGGGGGGGAAGCCAAGTGTGCATAATAATACCAAAATCTGGATCAAAACCAGCAACTACACGCGGTGGTGAACCCCACTTTCAGGCATAGCACGCCGCCCCCCAGAGAGCCCTTGCCTGATTTCTGGAAGCCCAGGACGGTTAGAGAAGACCCGATCTCTGCAAGAAAGGAGTTGGAAAGTGCGGGGATGGCTGTCGAAAAAGGCTCTATCAGAGGGCAATTGCATAAGGATGGGGCTTGGAGGGAGTTGATCCAGGGATTACCCGTGGCAGGTTAACTAATCAGGCCAGAGCCAAGTAGGGCCCTCAGGGCTCACTATCTTGAATCATGCCCTGAAGCGAATCAGCGCAGCTCCCAAAGCTGCAGGTGACCAGGCATGCTCCCATCATTGCCTAGGTTGCTGTGTTCTGTACAAGCTATACTTCCAAATGTTCTTCAAGGGGAACTCTATATAGAGCACATTACTGTAATCCAAATAGGAAATGATTAGTGTGTGAGTGATTGTGAGCAGGTCTTCCTGATCCTGGAATAGCAAGTTGGCACACTGGATGTAACTCTGCAAAAGCCCTCCTTGCAAAAGTTGCCATCTCCCCATCAAGTAAGAGCTGAGTTTGTGAGGAAAGAGTCCTGAGGGTAGAGTTCTCCAGGCAGATCCCCTCCCCTGACTGGAACTACCCCTTCAGGGAGGAGAAGAGCCATAAGACAGTGTCCCCCACTCCAATCCATCAGAGATGGGACCAAAGTTGTTGAGAGTTCAAGGAGGATTAGGAGAATTGCTCTCTCCTCATCCTGCTTTGAAATGTGTAGCACCTGAAGGTCATTCAGATGCTGAGCCTTTCTTTGCCCTACACATTGTATTGCAAACCATGGGCTCCAAGATCACCGCAGACGGAGACTGCAGCCATGAAATTAAAAGACGCTTGCTCCTTGGGAGGAAAGCTATGGCAAA